GCATCTATTAATTTAGGTAATGATCCCAGAACCAACAATGTGAAGATTGGAAATTCATCTTTTACCTTGATAAGATTTCTGCAAAAAATGTGTATTCTAAACATGACTCAAAATGAGTCAAAACTGCATAAAGTAAGGCATTTTGTCTATTGATTTGGTTTATGGTATTCTGGCAGATTTAACATTCTACATAAGAGATTAATGTGTAAAATTAAAGTGCATAGGTTTGGGGATAGTGTATTGAGATGGATAGAAAATTAATTAACAGAGAGGAAGCAAAGAATGCTTCTATGTCTGAATGGCGGGCCGTGACTAGCGGGGGCACTGCAAGGACCCTAGTTATTCACAATGCATGTTAATGATTTAGATGATGGAAATAAACATAATACCTCAAAATTTGCGAATGACACAAAGCTGGTTTTGAAGAGGATGCAGAGATGTTGCAATGTGATTTGGTCAGGCTGAGTAAGTGGGCAAATGGCAAATACAGTATAATGTTGATAAATGTGAGGTTATCCACTTTTGTAACAAAAAGAGGAAGGCAGATTATTATCTAAATAGCTGTAAATTGAGAGAGAGCAATATGCAACAAGACCTGGGTGTCCTTGTACACCACTCACTGAAAGTTTGTGCACAGGTGCAGCAGGCAGTAAAGAAGGTAAATGGTATGTTGGTCTTTGTAGTGAGAGGATTCAAATACAAGAACAAGGACGTCTTGCTGCAGTTATACAGGGCATTAGTGAGGCCACACCTGGAATATTATGTACAGTTTTGGCCTCCTTATCTGAGGAAGGATGTTTTTGCTATAGATAGAGTGCAGCAAAGGTTTACCAAATTGATTGCCGGATGGCAGGATTGATGTATGAGGAGAGATTGAGTTGGTTAGAATTGTGTTCACTGCAGTTTAGAAGAATGAAGGGGAATCTCGTAGAACCTTATAAACTTTAAACTTATAAACTAGGAAGAGTAGATGCAGGAAGGATATCCCTAATGGAGAAGGTGTACAGAACCAGGAGCCATAGATTAAGGAAACAGTAATTTTTTTAGGGCTGAGAACAGGAGAAATTTCTTCACCCAGAGAGTAGTGAGTCTGTTGAATTCACCAGCACGTAAATGGTTGAGTCCAAAAGATCATGTGTTTTCAGGAAGGAGGTAGATATAGCACTTGTGGTTAAAGGGGTCAAGATCTACTCCTGATCCTATCTTCCATGTTTCTATAATATAGCTCCCAAGATTGAGCAGTTGGTGATCTATCTTGTTAGAAACTATTCCTTGGTGTGTTGCTGTCAAAGGCAGCTAAGCTGTCCTGTATTAACAATTGAGATGACATTAAGGGTATGAAAACAGAGAATGATAGCAAATATGGCAGCATGTGTGGAGAGAGAGAGAGACAGGGTCAACATTAGAGTCCAAAATGACTCTTCTTTCGAAATGAAATCATCCAGATCCACCCTTGTCCTTCTAGATGGTAACAGTTTTGTGATTGTTGAAGGAGCTTTGGTGAATTTCTGCAGTGAATTTTGTAGACAGTGCACACTTGTTGCTACTCAGCGTTGGTGGTGGAGGGAGTGGATGCTTGTGGATTTAGTGCTAATCAAGCGGCTGCTTTGTCCTGGATGGTGTCAAGTTTCCTGAGTGTTGTTGGTGCTGCCCCCATCCAGGCAAGTGGGGAGTATTCCATCAGTTTGTGCCTTGTAGTGGACAGGCTTTGGGGAGCCAAGATTTGAGTTACTGACTGCAGGACTCCCAGCCTCTGACCTGCTCTTATTGGCACTGTGTTTAAATGGCAAGTCCATTTCGGTTTCTGGTCAGCATATAGACAGAGGGAGATCTAGTGATGTTAAGGATGTTGAACATAAAGAGCTCTGATTCAATTGCCTCTTGTTAGAGATGGCCATTATCTGATATTTGTCTGGTGTCATTGCTACTTGCTAACTATCAGCCCAAGCCTGGGTATTGTCCAGACCTTGTTGCATTTGAACACGGATTGCTTCAATATCTGAGGATTCGCAAATGGTGCTGAACATTGTGCAATCGTGGGCGAACATCCCCACTTCTGACCTTATGATAGAAGGAAGATCATTGATGAAGCAGCTGGAGATGGTTGGGCCTAGGACACTACCCTGAGGAACACGTAGAATTATGGAATCATACAGCACGGAAACAGACCCTTTGGCCCAACTCATCCATGCTGACCAGGTTTCCTAAACTGAACGAACCCTATTTGCCTGTAGTTTGGCCCGTATCCTTCTAAACCTTTCCTATCTATGTACCTGTTCAAATGTCTTTTAAATGTGGTAATTGTACTCACCTCTATCACTTTCTGTGGCAGCTCATTCCACATATGAACCACCCTCTGTATGAAAATGTTGCCCCTCAGGTCCCTTTTAAATCTTTCCCCTCTCGTCTTAAATCTATGCCGTTTAGTTTTGGACTCCCCTACCCTGAGGAAAAGACCTTGGCTACTCGCCTGATCCATGCCCCTCATGATTTTATAAACCTCTATAAGTCACCCCTCAGTCTCCTACACTCGAAGGAAAAAGATCCCAGCCTATCCAGCCTCTCCTTATAACTCAAACCCTCCAGTCTCAGTTACATGCTTGTAAATCTTCTTTGCACCTTTTCAAGTTTAATAGCATAGCAGGGTGACCAGAATTGTACGCAGTACTCCAAATGTGCCCTTACGAATGTCTTGTACAGCTGTAACATGATTTCCCAACTCCTATACTCAATGCTCTGACCGATGAAGGCAAGCGTGCCAAATGCCTTCTTCACCACCCTGTCTACCTGTGACACCACTTTCAAGGAGTTATGTACCTCCGCCCTCAGTCTCTCTGTTTGACAACACTCCCCAGGGCCTTACTATTAACTGTGTAAGCCCTGCCATGGTTTGTCTAACCAAAATGCAACATCTTGCATTTATCAAAATGGGTGGCACAGTGGTTCAGCGGTTAGCACTGCTGTCCCACAGCACCAGGGACCCGGGTTTGGTTTCAGCCTTGGACAACTACCTGTAGAGTTTGCACGTTCTCCCTTTGTCTGTGTGGGTTTCATCCCACATTCTAAAGATGTGCAGGTTAGGTAGATTGGCCATGCTAAATTGCCCGTAGTGTCCAGGGATGTGTGGGTTAGGTGCATTAGCCATGGGAAATGCAGGGATATGGTAGGGAGTTCCATCTAGTGGGTTGCTGTTCAGTGGGTTGATGTGGACTCGATGGGCTGAATGGCCTGCTTCCACATTGTGGGGATTCTAATTAAACTGTAATTAATCTGCCATTCTTCGGCCCACTGGCTCAGTTGATCAAGATCCTGTTGCACTGTTAGATAACCTTCTTCACTGTCCACCATACCACCAATTTTGGTGTCATCTGCAAATTTGCTAACCAGCTGAGTGCACTATAATTTCATCCAGATCATTTATTTGAATGTGTGGACTCAGCACCGATCCTTGTGGTGCACTGCTGGCCACAGTCTCCAGTTTGAACAATGACCCACTACCTCACCCTCTGTCTCCTGCCGCGCACTGATGTCCTGGAACTGAACTGATTGACTTCCAACCACCACAACCATTTTACTATGTGCCAGCTATGGCCCGACTACTGGAGTGATTTCTCACTGTTTCGCTTTGATTCCAGTTTTGCTCAGGCTCTTTGATGCCACTATCGATTGAATGCAGCCTTCATATCAAGGCAGTCACCCGCAATTCCCCTCTACAATACAGCTCTTTTGTCCATGTTTGAACCAAGGCTGTAATGAGGTCAGGAGCGGAGTGGCCCTGGTGGAACCCAAACTGGGCGTCACTGAGCAGGTTATTGCTGAGCAAGTGCTGCTTGATAGTGCTGTTACTGACACCTTCCATCACTTTATTGATGATTGAAAATAGACTGATGGGCTGGTTATTGGCCGGGTTGGATTTGTTCTGTTTTCTTCTGTAAGGACATACCGGAGCAATTTTCCACATTGTTGGGTAGGTGCCAGTGTGACAACTGTACTGGAACAGCTTGGCTATGTGTGCAGCTAGGTCTAGAGCACAAGTCTGCGGTACAATTAACAAAATGTTGTCAGGGCCCATAGCCTTTTCAATGTCTAGTGCTTTAGGCTGCTTTATGATATCACATGGAGTAAATCAGCCATTCAGCCCGTCGAATCTGCTCTGCCATTCATTGAGATCATGGCTGACCCTCAACTCTACTTTCCTGATTTTTTTTTCACAATCCTTGATTCCCTTATTGATTGAAAATTGATTTCAGCCTCGCATTTACTTAATGACCCAGCTTCGACAGCCATCGGTGCTAAAGAATTCTGCAGATTCACTCCCCATTGAGAGAAAAACATTCCCCCTCATCTCTCTCCTAAATGTGTGACCCCTTATTCTGAGATGATGCTGTCTGGTTCTAGACTCTCCCACAGCGGAGAAACAACCTTTCTGCATCAGTAGGGTCACCTCTCATTCTTCTAAACTCCAATGAGTACAGGTCCAACCTACTGAATCTCTCCTCATAAAACTCCCTGCATACCTGGTATCAACCAAGTGAACTTTGGACTGCCCCAATACCACTGTATCTTTCCTTAGATACGGAGCCTGAAACTGTTTATTCCACTGTTTATTGAAATGGCTGAAAACTGGAATCTATGAAGCTGGGACCTCTGGAAGAAGCTGAGTTGGATCATCCATTCAGCACTTCTGACTGCAGATTGTCACAAATACTTCAGCCTTAAGTTCAGCGCAAAAAAAAAACATTTCCTGTGTCTTTTTGATAAGAAATGGCATTGGAGATGCATCAAACTCACAGGAAATGATGATCTACATAATGGGTGAGCAGGTGATTGATAGAGTACCTGAGAGCTGTGTCCTTACTACAGACCATTGTTTAACCAATTACAGAATTACAGACCAAAGAAACTCTCGACCAGGAGTACAGATGTAAATGAACTGTTTGACTGGTAGATTGTCCGTTTATTTTAATTATAAAACCTTCTCGCATTTCCTAATTTTTCAGATCTGGAGGCTTTCAGACGACCGAGCTCTCCATTACTTGATATCAAACCTATCGAGTTTTGGGCAATAGGATCTAAGAAAGAAATAGTTCAACCAAAGGTATTTCGAAAAGCCTACGTGCCTGAGGACTACTTCCGAAAGTTTGAGCCAAGACTGTACTCTGTTGATTCAAACAGTGATGATGTGGACACTTTGACTGATGATGAGATTCTGTCCAAGTATCAGCTTGGAATGCTGCATTTCAGTACCCAGTATGACCTGCTGCATAACTACTTGATAGTGCGGGTGATCGAAGCCAGGGATCTTCCTTCCCCGATCTCATACGATGGATCCAGACAAGACATGGCTCATTCGAATCCATATGTGAAGATGTGTCTCCTTCCAGATCAGAAGAACTCAAGGCAAACGGGTGTTAAACGAAAAACCCAGAACCCAGTTTTTGAAGAGCGTTATACATTTGAGATTCCGTTTTTAGAAGCTCAGAGGAGGACTCTCCTTTTAACAGCTGTTGACTTTGATAAGTTTTCACATCACTGCGTTATTGGAAAAGTTGCAATGCCTTTAAATGAGGTAGACCTTGTAAAAGGTGGACATTGGTGGAAAGCGCTGATTCCAAGCTCTCAGGTAAGGTATGACTTTGATTGTGTGCCTTAAATTTCCACTTGACTTTCAGCGTATGATTCATTGCCTGATGTGCCGATATCTTGAAATCCTGGTGTCCAGTATTACCATTGACAGTGGAAGAGGTTTTAATGTTAAATACTTAGAGGCAAGTTGAATGGATTTTGCTAATTTGGCTAAACTTCCCAACTCCATGAATATGAAACTTTTCAAAAGATTTACCCTGCCCCCACCGCAGCTCAGCTATGTCAGCATCCACTGGCTACAAAAGGTGTGCAAAGCCTCTGTGTTCTACATCTGTCCTGTCAGTGTGAGCAGGCAGATTCCTGGGCAGTTTTAGAAAGTCACCAACATTATGGACATGACCCTGCCCTTGCCTGCATGATTGAACAGCCATTGCAGGGAAATGGGATTAGAATAGATGGATGGTTGATGACCAGTGCAGGCACGATGGGCCAAAGAGCCTCTTTGTGTGCTGTAAAATTTCTGTGATTCTGTGCCTCTTAGACTCCTCTGTGACGTTCGACACTCTGCTTTACTGACCAGGGCTGAGCAAAAGATTCACCCAGTTATTTATAGCACATTATCCCTTAAACAAATGTTGAATTTCTCTAACTCCCATTGTGAGACTGTGGCTAACAATATTAATAAAACAACTCACTGTGAAAGTCGAGAACATGTTATTCAAATCATTGTAAAAGAGGTTTTGAAATGTGGTACCTGGAAATTATGTGTTTGGTATGAGATCAGAAATGCATTTGTGCCTATTAATGGTACAAGATACACAAAAAATGAATTTGTATCTTCCAACTAATCCAAAGTAGGATGTCTATGTCGTTGTTGTGATGCTGGACTAACAAACTGAATATCAAAGGCTTAAATCACACCTCGACAATGTGTGAAAGTGGCTCCAATAAATCTTGTGGTTTGTGGCTAGGCACCAAAATGAATCATTGAGAAAGTTACTGTTAATTCGAGAAAATCCACCTGTGTTGCAGGGAATGGAGTCTGACTTCCTTTCCTAGCCTGACCTACCTGTGACTTCAGTCCTACATTTTATTGCTAATATTTCGCTGTAAAGATCAAGAGATATATCTAAACAGGAAGCTCGACAGACAGATGAGGGAGAAGAAACAGAAAGAGAAGCTGCTCAGGTTAGGTGGGGAGGTGTAATCGGGATCAACCAGTTGTGTTGAATGGCCTAAAAACAATGTAATGTAAGCTAGCACCCCATTTCCAATCTCCCCCTCCCTGTGCATGATCTCTGAACAGGTTGGTGGCTCCTTCTCAGCTTGTTTGCAGCCTTTTCCATTAATGACCATTGCAGGCTCCGCCAGTGCATCTCCTCTAACATTCAGCTGGGTGAGATTCCCCTCTCCTGAATCTACTCTTATTTTCTGCCTTTGACAAAGAGTTACTTAGCTGGTTTATTTTATTAGGTCTGGAGTGGCCCAAGGATTGATCCCTGACCAGGATTCTATTTCTCACGCTCCACACGCACCTCCTGTTCCAAAATCTGGTCCCATGTGTACAGTCAAGTTGGCCAGCAACAACCTCCCTCTAGCCCTCATGCTGCTTGTTGATGTACAGTTTCTCTAAAGAATATTGGGAAGAGCTAAGCACAGTTTTTGCTTCCCTTCACAAGCTCTATTCCCTACTGAATCATCCCTCACCCCGACACTGAGATCGACCCAACCCAATTGTGAACGTTTTAATGTGAATTGTTTCTCTGACTACATTTCCACTCCAACAGCAAGAATGCCTATTTCTCGATCTATAATATCACCAAGTCTCCATCTCTGCTTCAGCTCCCCCATTGCTTCTGGAACCCTCATTCATGGCCCCCGTAGCTTCTAGAATTGACTATTCCATAGTTGCCTGGTTGATCCCCCAATCTTCCCTAAAGTCATCCAGAACTGTATTCTAATTCACATTAATCTTATCTACAAACCCCCACCTCAACATTTGTTGACCTACAGTGGCTCCTGATTTGACAATGTTCTGAATTTAAAACTCTCAGTCTTATTTTTAAATTCTTACATGTTCTTGCCCCTCTCTACCTTTGTAACTTCCTCTTTGAAACCTGTGGTACCTGCCCCAACCCAGGCTCCTGCACATTCCTGATTCTAATTGTTCCACCATTGGATTCAGATATCTGAACTTGACTTTGAAATTCATCCTCCAAGCCTCTCTTTCTGCCTTTAAAACCTTCCCAAATCCCACCTTTTTGACCATCTTCTGGTCATCTGTCCTTCTGTCTCCTTATCTGTCACATTTGCTTGATAATGTTCCTGTGAAATCATTTGAAACATTTTACTGTCTTAATAGGTGCTATATAAATGCATGCTTCTATTGCAGATTCAGTTTAATTCTTGGCAAAGAAAAGTCACTGAAAAGGGGCTCCACCTCATACTCTGAGGGCAGTTTAGGACGGGCAATAAATTCAGCTTATTCTATGTTATCAGCTACGTTACAGGAGCAAAGCAATGTACAGCTGAAGGGGCTGCCTCTTGCATCCAGTGGGATCTGTCAGGACCTGCCTATGAGCAAATGGAACAGGGGAATAACTAATGGCTACAGGATATTTCCCTCATCAACCGCTTCAGAGATGCAGTGACACACCTCTGGAGCAGGTGGGACTTGAATCAGGGCATCTTGGCCCAGCGGCAGGGACATTACCTCAACGTCACAAGCGATGGTTAGGTGTTAATTCAGGGCTAGTTGGATGAACGCTTATCTGGGTGTGTGGGAACAAGTAGGTAGTGAGGTGAGAGATTGTGTTTTGTGAGCTGGAACAAAAATAAAAGTCTGACTGGAAAAGGATATGACTGGCCTGTATATCGCCAGCATTTTAATTGTTGGGATTTAATACTGACACCAAATGTAAGGACCTGACCCGGATCCAGGATTCTGATATTTTAATAACAGTAGAAGCAGTTGGGGATTAAATCCAACATGTTCTGCATTGTTGTAGGGTGTGCTGTGTCTGTGACTTCAATACTGTTTCATTAATGTGAAATTATACTTTCAAAAAAGAGTGCCCAATTTTATAATGAGGAAATCATCAGAAAATTTCAATGACATATCATTCAGCCTACCCAATACCTTTGATGATTGTGAGACCATTTCATTGATTGTGAAGTTGATCTTGCTTAGATTTTGAGGTAAAGAAAACATCTTTTATTGAGCTGACGTCAGTTCAGCTGAACCTTCCTGTTACTGTACTATGGGCCAGAATGAGATAAATTGGTAAACAGTAGAGGGATTGTAACGTGCCATTGTAACCCCATTCCTTCCAATGCAGGCAGATACTAACTTTGTGCTGTTGTATAAAGTAATTGTTCTGGAGGGGTTAACGTTACATGTTACATTGGCTCCACCCATTCTAGTGATGTCATAATCTGTGGGTGGAGACAAGGAGCTATCCCTGAGCTTTTCAAAAGAGCAGATGCATTTGCAGTAGCTCCCAAAGGTCCCAGTGATAACATTGAACCAAACGTACCTGTACTTACTGCTCCCATGTAATACACTTTCTTGATATCCCAGATTTCTTACAATCCAAAGAAAATCTAATTTTGGAGGAAGCCATTCAAAATACAGGAAGCAGAAACATTCGCAGACAGATCCTGAGAGGGGAAGACCAACCCTACCTCAAGAGGGCTCCGAGTCTGTTTGCACCATTAGACATAGGAACATTGGAACAGGAGGAGGCCATTCAAGGCCTCAAGCCTGTTCCACCATTCAGCGAGAGCCTAACTCCATATACCTGCCTTTGGCCCATATACCTTAATATCTTCGCTAAACAAAGTGTTATCTGTCTCAGATTTAAAATGAGCAACTGATCCAGCATCCACTGTCATCTGTGGAAGAGAGTTCCAAACATGTACCACCCTTTGTGTGTAGAAGCACTTCTTAACATCTCTCCTGAATGGTCTGGCCCTCATTCTCAGACTATGTCCTCTCAGTCTAGAATACCTAACCTGTGGAAATAGTTTCACTTTATCTATCCTGTCTTTTCCTGTTAATATTTTGAAGCTTTCGATCAGATCACCCCTTAACCTTTTAAATTCAAGAGAAAACAGCTTAATTTATATAATCTGTCCTCACAGCTTGACCCCTGAGGTGCAGGTATCATTCTTGTAAACCTTGCCAAAATAGCCTTCCTAGGGTGTGGTGCCCACATCTGGTGACCACACTTCAAATGGGGTCCATGGAGACATGGACACATTAAAGAGTTGTGTGACAGGCCAGGATGAGAGTGTGCCAAATAACAGATGCTAAGGGCAGGTGTCAGCACTGTCGGAGAGAAAAAGCTCACAGGCACAAAGAATGTCCAGCCAGCACTAAGGAATGTTCCATCTGCAAAACAGTAGGTCACTCCCAGCATCCAGCGGGTGTGCTGGACCCCGGTGTATCATAGGGATGGTGCTGGGACCCTTGCTGGTTGTTGTGTACGTTAGCAACTTGGATGTGAATGGAAAAGGTGTAATTAGTAAGTTTGAAGATGATATGAAAATTGAGGATGTTGATAGTGAGGAGGACGGTCTAAGGCTACAGTTTGATATTAATCAGCTGGTAAATTGGGCAGAACAATGGCAGATGGAATTTAATCCCGTTAAGTGCAATATGATGCATCTTGGGAGATTTAATAAGGGAAGGCTATACACAATGATTGGTAGGTCCCTAGGGAGTACTGAGGGAAAAAGGGACCTCGGTGTACAAATCCATAGATCCCAGAAGGTGTCAGCACATGCAGACAGGGTGGCAAAGGTGTCATATGGGATACTTGCCTTCATTAGCTGGGGTGTAGAGTACAGGAGCAAGGAAGTCTTGTTACAACTTTATTGGTTCAGCCACAGATGGAATACAGTTTGCAGCTTTGGTTACCGCACGATCAGAAGAATGTGATTGTGCCAGAGGGGGTGCAGAGGAAATTCACCAGGATGTTGCCTGGGATAGAAAGTCTCAGTTATGAGGAGAGACATTATTTTCCCTGGAGCAGA